CATTATTTCATATACTACTTTTAAAATATTTATAAAATGGCCTTTTAAACCATTATCATTAAAGACTTATTTCTATCTAAGCCAGATTCCTTAAGATAAGAGTATTCTCATTCATGAATCTTTGCTAAAAAAAGCCTTCAGAAGTGACTGGAAAGGGAGGTCTGTTGCTCTGACAAGATATGTAGCAATCATAATCCAAAAACATAAGGAGGTCTATTGCAGCTACCCAAGTTCTCCAGGTGGGTTCGTCCTTTATGACAAAGTGAACCTACAATTTCGAAGAATAACAAAAGCATGTCTAAGCCAGGGAAGGTTACCTCAATGGACACTTCAGCACTTTTGAGTGCCTTTTGTAAGCCTTACCTCTTGTGTATAATGAGTTTTGCATGGTGTTTCAGGTTTCCAGTGGATAAAGTGACATGGATTGCTGTAGAAAGTGTGAGTACAAACCCGCCAAATCCGCATGAGATAGCTGGGAGTGCTATGTGCTTAACCTCCTTCTTGCAATCGAATGTTATAGCGTTCCTGTAATAGCAAAAGCACAATGTATCAAATTTGCTACACACTCCGGCATACCCGTAAGTGAGACCAAGTTGTCTGGCAGCTTCCGTCTCCCTGTCTTTGGAGTATCTTGTGCAATGATTTTAGATGCTGGCAGTCCCTCTGAAGGGCTGAGAAACAAGTCAGTTATTAAGTTAAAACAATAAGGAAAGACAGTTACATGATCTCCAAGGCAGTAAACCTCGAACTAGTAGCAGTTTCTGAAAAAAGAAAATGCAAAAGCTCTAAACACCCATTTGCCTTACCTCGGTGTACCTGGCCTCCAACAGGAATTACAATACCATCATTCTTTCCGTCCACAAACCACTCTAATATGTCCCCGCTTTTAATAACAAACTTGCAAGAGCCGACTTTACAAACAATCTTGAGGTCCTTTTCCTGATCAAAAGCCACTATATCTAACCAAAAAAAAAAAGAGAGGTAAATTTGAAGCATTATTACCTTGAGGTCCATCACCCTTATGCAGGGGTCCCTAGGACGTCGGGGCTCGCAAGAGGTAACGGGTTTGGGTACTTGAGGGTTCCCATTGACTGGGGTTTCTTCTTGGTCAAATATAGCTATAATTAGTTTACTGTACGTACCTAGGGGGCACAAACCATGGGGTCCAACAACATATAACTCTACCATCTCTTCTTCGTCTTCAGGCTAATCTTCGTCTTTAGACTCAGATTCATTGGGAGGCTCGGAATATATATCGATTGGGCCTTCCTCTTTGTCCTCTGCGGCACTGTGTAGCTGTCCACTCACCTCTTGAGTCATTCCACTTTCTGTCGCAGCAGCTCTCCAACGGGAACTACTGCGAATGTCCTGCATTCATCGGTCCCTATATCAGCAATCTGGCAGCACGCTTCCTCGAGGCCCTGTACTAGTTCGCACGTTACAAGCTCGTTTGCGGATCGAAAGTATACAATACTCACAAGTGCATCAATCCGAGTGTAATCGCTATCCATGTGCCACTCTAGGTGTCTTGATGCAACAATAAGATAGGAGTCTGCTGTAGTCAGCCGCTCCTGCGTGCACAAGCTTCCAGAATAACAAATTTCAACAAAAGGGTGAGCACCTTGTGGTAGTAAAAAGGTAGACTACTGCTTTGTGGGGGACTAGCATTTTTGAGACGGTAGACAGAACTTGAACGGGTCGGCCTCTCGTCCTTCCCACTTCGGCACAGTATCACCGACGCAAGGGCCTCGCCAAACACACACACATGTGCGTCTCCAAGCACCACCACCAAGGACCTGGTTTGGGCACACCAATCCTATAACCAAAACCAGACCAAACATTCACAGCAACAGCAGTAATCAGACAACAAGAGAGATTACCACATACCCAGCAATCTGATGTTCCCACCAGAGCCCGCAGCTCGTAATTCATGCTGCAAAAGAACTGCCCATCTTTTTAGAAAGTACAACGCACATATTCTTACTTTCTGAATGCGAGCTCCAGAGCTTGTGGCGTACCGCACGTTGACAGCTCCAGAGATGCCCGAATGTGATCCATGAGTCGATATCGGCGTAACTTGAGAAGTTCGAGATGTACAGAATACAGGTGCGTATCTCTTACGTCCGGGTAAGCTGCATGGAAAATTACCACAACGCGCTCCTGCACTCTCCCTATCTCTGCCAAGCACACCACACAACTAGTCATATCCTGGGCCGGCTCGACCATCACTGCCTCCATCGCCAGCTAACCCAACAAAAGGGTTTTCGATCAGGACATAAAATCTAATGCGTTTGATTAATTTGGGAACTTCCAAAGGCGCGGTTGAAGGACGCAAGCAGCTGTACAGAATTTTGTTTCTCCGTTCATGCTGTGATTTATTTTCTTTCTCGTCCAGGCAACACTCTTCAGGACTTTCAAGCAGTCCAGAATAAAGAATTGGAAGCAGTGTATACACCCTTCGTCCCTGAAGCCTTCGAGGTACTTGCTTGATCACGTAAATCAAGTTCCTGATTTCCAGCTTCTTATCTCATATAGTTACACGGCTGCTGAGCTAAACCTTACTTCAGTCGAGAAGATCGTACATCAAACAGCCCGCCTTCCATAGCAACAGCAAATACCAGGCCTTGTTGATCATACGCCATAGACGGCCTTCCCCGGAATCTAAGAAGATCATCGCTTTCCAGCCGCAGAGGTTATCAAAGGCGCGTGCTATTGGAGAAATGCTTACACCCACGTACGTAAATCTTGCTGGCCACAAACTTTGCGTGCTTTCCAGACATCCAGGAATCGAACGGCAATCAATCGCGAAAGCCACCAGTACCAGCGGACGCATCAGAATGTGCAAAGATTTCTTGCAGCAGTGCTTTCACTTGAAAGACCGACTGCGAGCCAAGTACAATCCCAGTCCCGTGCTAGGCTGGCGAAACCTTGCGCGTTCGTTGGGTACACAAAACTGACAAGAACACAGCGATTTCGCTAAAGAAACTCTGCAAAATTGTAGAGCAAAATACATCGCTTCCAAGTGGTTCTCTCTGACAATCTTACTCGCGTTCTCCACAGCGAACTTACATCCAAGGTAGTTCCTCGCCTACTTCATGTCCTTGTTCAAGAACTTGCGATGGAAATCACTCCTGATCGTATCGTTGATGAAGCGCTTCACCTACTTGGTAGCCTGGTGCTTGAACACCACATCGTCGTCCCACCTCCTCTACACGGCAGACGAGCCGCCGCCACCACCGCGGCGACGTCGGTGCCAAATTGCTCTTGCGAGCTTGAATCTTCGGCATCTGGCCCAAGATGGTTAACGTGGTCAACCAACCGCTTCTGGTTTGATACCGAGCTGAACATTGGAGAAGAGCCTCCCCAGCTTGTCAGGAGGGCCCTCAAGCAGTGCTGTGGTGTTGTGCTGGAAGATGATGGCATTGGTCGAAGATGGTCTTGCACAGGTACGATGAAAACTACGGTTGTAATGCACGCTGCAGTGACAGAATCGAGATTCAACTTCTGCAAAGCTCGAGCAATCCAAACGAGCTCGAAGGGAAGGTTGAAGGAGAAGGGGAGCACATAGCTCCACTCAAGATGACCTCTAGCAACTCCTCTAAGCTCAAGAATCCTAACTTACAACACTATGCTTTTCAATATCCATTTAATGCAAGAACTTCCTTTGATAGCAACAGTGAATACAGTCTAAGACTAGGAGGGTTGGAACAGCGGGAAAAAAAAGCGGCTTTACACCTTCTTGACGCCATTTGGATGGATCTCTGCTGCGAACTGGACGCTGTCGACGATCTTCGCCCCGCGTGCGGCAGTGAGATACAATCCCATATGGTGCGCGAGATCCTGCACATCAATTCACCAAATCAATCACAGTAGGATATTTGAGGAAATGTTTCATACTTGTGGATGCGACACAGCTCCAATTTCCTTCGCAACTGCCAGAGGCAAATCATAGGTGGAGCATCCTTGAGCGTAGACCACGATTTCTTCCAGCGGTGGCGAGATCCCGTGGTTCCTGACTGAGGTCATCGTCGCCACGAAATCTAGCACACAAATGTCCGTGTGACTTACATTCACCATCCTTTGTGCATGGGCTGATTGGAAATTCAGGCCCACAAGGGCCATGTATCATGTGCTTTTTAACCAATTCATATAATTCTGGGTCTAGTCTGGCATCTGGTATTTCGGCAGTAACTATATTGTCTATGTCATCGATAGTTCTGATTTTATTATCTTTACCAAGGATCACCAAAATATGATAGTGTGGCAGTCCTCTTTTTTGGAATTCAATCACATAGACATAAGCATTGGTTTCTTGATGTGGAACACACATGCAACCAAGTCAGGTCTGTCTGCAGTTGTTTGTCCAGGTAGAAGGTTTTCAGTGATTTCTTTCCATTTAGGATTGCAGGTGAATGTTATGAACAAATCAGGTTTTCCATACTTCCTTACAAGGCTCATGGCATCCTGGTAGTTCTGATTCATCTGTCATGGGCCTCCACTGAATGAGGATGGAAGTATTATTAGTTTTCCAGCACGTACCCTTTGCTGTTCGGCTCTGTTTTTAACAAAATCTGAAAGGCCACTGTATGCTTCAGCACGTAGCTCATGTTGGTGGTTTCTTATCCATGTTAGTAGGCCACCTTCAATCTTGGTGTATATATCGACCATGTATTGTTGTGTGAGTTTTCCTGCTGTCAACACAGGGTTGAAATATATGCTTCTTATGCCATTGTGACATATGCCCCGTATAAAAAATTTGTGTTGATAAAATTCCATTATTGTGCAGCAAGGAAAGAACATTCAAGAAGCCTTTCAAGATCCTACTCTTTATTTTGTAGGAAATTCAGCACTTGGCTCTCCGAATTTGCAGCATGCCGGGACTGCATTGCAATGTGTTGGGATTTCTCCTATCCAAGATGTGTGCAAGTATGCACAGATTTTGAGGAGATTTAGAAGGTAGTAGATAGAAACTGCTTGATTCTTATTATAATGAGGCTTATAACATTAACTTTGGCCAATCTTGCTAAACAATAGACTATGGCCGGTTTAGTAAAGGGATGATAAAACGTGTATGGTTGTAAAACTCAGTTCTCATGAGATTCTTACAACTTGCTTCTGAAAGTCTTCATGTTTTGCCTTTGTGCTTCGCAAATTTTCCTCAGCTTGCTTGAGCTGTATTAATAGGAACGACACATACCTGGTTTCCTAGGGTGAGAACAACATAAGGGTCACCAATCATGAAGTCCCTCACGGTAAGGTTTATGGCTTTTATTACATGCACTCGAATCAATCAAACAAATTCTTGCAGACCTTGCAATTAAAATGTTTACCTCTAGAATTGAAGCATTGAACAAACCAGAGCAGAAAAATCTTCTTGCCTTGAAATAATGTCGATTCTTGACAAGAGGAAGCCAAATGCATAGATGGCTTTACAAATTCTACTTGCTTCTGAGAAAACATTGATTGTTGAAAAATAAATATAGAAAACAGTTTCGCATCTCCTGAACCTTACAAATTCTAATTGCTCTTGATTGGATGATTACGGGCATGGGTCTTTTGCCAAGATTTAGGAACAAAGGCCTTGTATGCAGCATTTGTAGCTGCATTGCCACCAATAAACAGCATAAGCTCAACCCTTCGTCTGTCCAGTCGTTGGAATTTATGGACATAAACTGTTGAAAATTTATGGACATAAACTTTTCTGCTGCAAGTTGGGGGGAAAGCACTGTTACGGTGCAGGCTGTGAGAGCAGTACCAAACAAAAGGACATAAAATTGGGAAGAGAGATTATTTACATTTACCTTTGATACAAAAGCTCCCATGCTTTAATGAACAGCATAGCATTTGTCACAGATTAAAACTCCATGTTTGTAGAGCTGGAGAAACAACAGAAGATGCAACAAGATGGAAATGAAAATGGCTTACGCCCATTGGGGACCCTGCAAGCCGCACAGAATTGGTTGTCTAGTTGCAAGATAAATGTTTGAAATTTAGTCATGCTTCTCTCCATTTGCTAGGGTATCAAAGATCCACTCCTGAAAAACAAAGATCAGTGGACAGACCCTCTAGCAAAAAAAAAAAAAGAAGAATAAAAGAAAAAGCATTGCATTGAAAACCTTACCTTTAAACAAAGGAAATTCCGAGTCGATGAGCTTAACCTTTACTCCAAATCCTGCCAATATGCTCTGAGACACATAGATACACTGCAAAAAAAGAGCATTATCAACTCAGAGGGAAAAGAAAGAACTGGGACATCTCTTTCAGAGATCCAGTAAACTGCTTTCACAGACTTCCAAGTGTATTATACAGGTGCTCTAGCTGAATGGTAGAATGCTTTTCAAGTCGATCTGGGTGGAAATCTTGAGTACCTGGCAGCCTTTGGACAGCACACTATTGTGATTAGATGGTCTGTTCACGATTCCACAAGTGCCATGGGAAGTCAAAGGTCTCTTTGACGGCATCTTTGAGTACAAACTGGACAGTAAAGGAAAGATTCATGAGCACAAGGTATATAACATAAGGACCAATGCAATTATGCAACAAACCTCATGGTGTGCAGCCGCAGTGATACCTGGAAAAATGCATTGAAAAAAACTGGTTTACCCTAAAAAAAATAAAAAATTTCACCCTCAATTGTTTTTTTGCCATGTGTTTTCATCTCCACCATTAAGCTCGAAAAGAATCTCGATTGAATATGTCGTCTTGCTCTTTTAAATATAGAAGGATGATAATAATATATAAGAAAATTATATATTTTTTAAATTGCATAATATTTTTAAGATACCAGAAAATTAATATTAACATTTATAAAATTAATGTGGAGGAATAATTTTAATTATAATCTTAATTAAAAATAATATTTAATTTAATTTCTAGTGTGAGTGCATAGAATATGAAAATGGAATACAAAAATGTGCATATCAATTAGCCCAAAAACCTTAGATTATATACATGAGCAAATGATCTAGATTGAAATCAATCCAACAATTATCAAAATTCCACTATGTTAATATTAGTATATATCATTATAATTGTATATTTGAATTTCACATCATCCTTTCTTCTCATAATGATGGAAAACAATCAAAGTTCTTTAGTAGATGGGTTAGAATGTAGAAAAATATTAAGAAGAGGTATCAGTGAATCTGTAAGTAGTGCCACTTGTTTTTACTCCCTTGTATAAAGTGGTTTAGCTTTTGCATATCCATAATTTCTGGAGGATCAGCCTATTAAATGCCATGCCAAATTTTATAAATTTGCAATCTAACTTGCTAGAACACTTGATATTAAACAAATTACATACCATAAAATTGGAAAAATAGATTAACACTAAGTCATTTATTTTATACTTCACAAGGGGATGATAATGGGAGTTATAGTGCCATTCTTGTCCCATTTGTAAGCAGCCTAATGTCAAATTCAATTCATTTGCATTTTTATTTAAAGCAATTCTTATGTATTATAATGATTTACTGTGATAGCAAACATAATATAAAATATTTTGTTAAATGTTATTCCTAGAATCAAACTTTGAACACTTAATTAGTTTTAATGGCAAAAATTATATAAAATTCAACTGTGTTTAAAACTTTTAATTGTACTTTATTGAATGCCAAATTAATTTGATCATCTAGATTTAAGGACATTAATACTATGTATTAGAGTGATATAATAATAATATATTCTAATTAATATTAAACAAGTCCATCTCCATACTACTTGAGCTTTGGGCCTCAACTCGGGCGAGAAGGGTCCATCCATCTCCAGATGCATGTAGGCATTCGTTCACGGCCACAACCCTCACGATGTCCCCGAATTCTATGTCCATGTATCCCTGAAGAAAATAACCAGTCAAAAGTACAAGAAGAAAAACAATAATACCTGGTATCTCTTGAGAAAAGCTTGAAGTTCTCTCATCTTTGATTTCATTCGCGCGTGTTCGTTGCTCACTATAGCGGCACTTACTTCCAAAGGGGAGTGTCCGATCATCCTCTCAACCAGCTGCAAAATCGGAGACCGTACTCTTGACTAAACAGAATTGAAGCTTTACCTCGTGGTTCACTAAAGCTTCTGTTAAAAGGCTTCCATCTTCGATGTATATCGCCAGCCGGTATGCATTGCGATCCTTGAAAAGGAACTCTTTCACGGCTGTAAGGAAACACTGTATCCAGAAAACGAATCGTGCTTTCTTTTTTCTTTTCTTTTGTTACCTTAACTCGGCCTGATTGAACTACACCAAACTCCATAAACCGCCTCTGTAGAACCGCCAGATACGTAAAGGGAGGGGACTCCAGGCTGTCTGCGGCTGAAAAATGGACGGGCATATGTCACGAAAATCTGAAGATCATAAAACTTACTGCGCAGTTGTCTTCTACTCCTGGTTTCATTGGATTGGAGGGAAAGCATACGAATACGCGAAGTTCCCAGGCCGATAGAAGTCTCGGAAGGTGTGCCAGACGAGGTCCGATGCGTAGTTTCGTCCTGTCCTGGAGGTGAACATCAAAAGCATTAGGCAGGGAGAGAAAACCTGAAAGGCCTTCTTTGTGTTTACTTGGTGTTTGTTCACTGTAGGAATATGAACCGCGAGAAAAATCTTCTATAGAAACAGGTGCTTGCCTTCCTGAAGACAAAAAAGTAGAGACAGAAAATCAAAATACAAGGATAGAAGAACGAAAGAAAGAAGGCAAACACAGTCACTGTGCAAAAGTTAGACCTGTATATGGATGATCACGAACAGTCGAAGAAGGTTGCTGCTCATTCCAGGATTGGCTGCAGCGCCATTGTTTTCTTGGACGTCAGGAGTTCGGGGCCAGGCAGCTTGTGTAAGTTGCTCTTCCAACGATGGTGGAGTAGTACCACGCGGGTGCCTGCAAATATCCTTAACTAGTACACGAAGAAGAAAACTTTACCTGTTTCCCCGAGGAGGTTTGTTTACTTGATGTACCACTCTCTGTCGAGCCTCTTCAAGCTCTTGGACAACACCTCCTAGAACAGTAACAATTTCCGGGACAAGAAGAAACATCCCTCTCCGGATGCAGACATTCCTTACGCAAATCTGCGGTTGGGAGAAAGAAAAATCAAGGAAAGGATTTCTTGAACGCGTACCTTCAAACCAGCTGGTTGTAAGACTTTGAGCTGTGGGATAGGACGATACTCAGTGCCAAAAACTCGTTGAGCACCGTCGGTCATGGATAGCTTCAAGCATCGACTTCCAATTCCAGCATTTCTTTCCTGGTAGCGATCCTTGAGGCCGCAGCAAATGTCCACCGTTTCATCTACCTGTGTGCCATGCTCCCATCGATAAAAAAAAATATAGAAAAACTTTCACTTACTTGTAGAACGAAAGGGCCTGCTAGCTCCACTTTGTGCATCGCCTGGACCCCTGGAGGAAGCACAGCATCGGTGACGAGATTGAAATCGGCAGCGAGGAGATGCGCAAAGCATTTCTCGGCGCGCGAGTCTACCGGCAACTGTGACGCTCCGCTCTGCTCGCGCAGGCAAGAAGAAAGCCACTGCGCATTAGGCCGCATTCCGCGAGAAGCCAGAATCTCCACAACCCGCTCCTCCATTGAAATCCCAAAACCCTACTAGGGTTCTAAGCATCCCGCCATTTTGCTAGCTTGAAAGGTTCCAGGAATATGCTTACCAAGCAAGGGCTTTATGGTGTTTTGCCGCGCGCACTCTCTTCTCTTCCAGATCGTGCATTGCGGAAATTCGCTCCTGCGGCGCCGAGGATATCGTTCCCCGAGACGCGCCACGGCGTGACATGGGACGATCCCTGCCACTGGCTGCGAAATTCGGACGAATCAGCACGCGCAATCGACCATGGCTGGGACAAGGGAGCTGCAGCGCCAGATCCGCCAGGAAATGGCGAGTAGGATGGAGAAGGAGCTCGCGTCGCTGCCAGAGCGCTGGGGGCATTGGTGAGTTCTTCCCGTTTTAACTTTTAGTTTTTGGCTTAGACGAAAAGCTTAATGACAATGTAGGAAATTTCGTGCAAATCCCGCAAGGGAAAGATCTACTCGAGACGAAGAGCCCGCAAAGGTGGAAGGCTGAAGGCTTTCTTGACAAAGTTTTCTCGACAAGAAGCAGAGTGAAGTGATGATCGACATCAATGCGCTTGCTGCGAAGCACGATAAAGTTTTGAGGATCTATCCTTCGTTCTCTCGTCGTAGCTATCATGAGGATGATCGATCGAAAGGACCTGCATTGCGATGAACGAGATTCACAAAATTCGGCACTCTGAGACCAGGAAAGGAAACGAAGCGACTAGAGCAAAATTCAGGGAAGACCTCACCGTTTTATACCCCCGGGAAGTGGAAGGCCAACGGCCTGTGGCAACAAGTTTAATAATGTTGATTCAACATAGCAATCCAGGCACATATAACTCGTCTTTAGGTTATAGCATAACTTAGAGAAATTTTTCTCACTGCCTCGTGTAACTAAAGTTTTTCCATGGTGAATGTAGTGGTAGTATCCTCCCACCTCATCCGGATGGCTTATCTCCAAACAGATAGAGTTGATGATCCACCAATGTTTTGGGCGAGAAGACTAGCGTCACTTCTCGTTTTTCACAGCGAAAAGGAGGTTGTCCCATGAAATCGCCACCGTCCATCAAACATCATCCCAGCCGTCGATATAAACCCGTTTTGAGGAAGCTAGGTCTTCCATTCAGCAAGAAGGTCTGGGAGCGATGGCGCGTGACACCGGTGAGTTAAGCGAGGATGACTGTAGTGAGCTTCTCAAGTTCTACATGAGGGGAAAGCGGCTGGGATGTGGAGGGCAAGGGCAGGTTTTCATGATCCATAATGGCCGCAACACTTATGCTGGAAAGTTGTTTCGATCGGGGAGTGATGCCGAGAGAGAAGCTCGGCTCATGTCCAAGCTTCACGCCTGCCCTGGGGTCGTCTCCTCCAAGGGTTTTGTCAGGGAGAGAGATGGTGCCAAGTGCTATGGCACCATCGTCATGGAGCTGTGTGGCCCAAACCTATGCGAGGGGTTGATCAATTGCGGGCCGATGAGGGAGGAGGATGTAGCGAAGACCATCAAGAAGCTGGCTGAAACGCTCAAGGAGATCCACTCCAGGGGAATTATCCACCGGGATCTCAAGCCGGAGAACATTCTTGTCAAGCTCAATGCCACTAGTGTGCACGATGTTCTGATTGGAGACTTCGGGATAGCCACAGACCTGCACAGGGAGATGTCAAAGTACTGTGGCACGGAAAAGTATATGGCACCAGAGGTGATGGCGAGGAAGGGCCGCAAGGGAGAATCACAGAGCTTCTACACAGCAGCCATTGATGTGTGGGGTTTGGGAGTCATTGCGTACGAGCTGTTGAAAGGTCACAAATCGAGAATGGAAATCGATTTCTTGAGAGCGGGAGCATTTCCAACTGGTTTTGGCTCGGACCAGGCGGAGGATCTTCTCCGGGGGATGTTAGCTGTTGAACCGAGCAAGAGGGTAACGCTGGACCGTGTGCTTGCACATCCCTGGATCGTGAAGCATTGCAGCAGCAGTAGCAAGATCGAGACGACGACACGCAGCAGGCGCTGTGGAATGAAGAGGAGTCTTCCCAGCAACAGCGACTTGATCGTGAAAAAAGCTCGTGCAGCTTAACAGCACCAGTTCGGTAAGCATCGTTTTTGATTGAAGAGTACAGGTACTAACTTTGCTTGCTTGGTCACCGGGTGGAAAAAAAAATTGCGAGACAACGATCTCTTTGTGAGAAAGATTTTTTATATCAATGCAAGAACTGTCTTTGCAAGTTATGAGTTTTCCTTTCTATTCTCTTGATGGGAACAGTCAAATTCAATACAATGGAAGGGATCGCTGATGATCCTGGCGGCAAATTTGAAGAGCTTCAACTCGGGCAAGAAGCCTCCATCCATTTCCGGATAGTCGTTCACGGCCACAACCCTGTGCTGAAAAGATCACCACACGCTTAAGAAGAGAATATCTCATGTGTGCCTTTGTAGAAAACACCTGGTATCTCTTGAGAAAAGCTTGACGTTCTATAGCGGCACTTACATCCAACGGGGAGTGTCCGATCATCCTCTCAACCAAGTCTTGATTAAACAGAATTAAAGCTTTACCTCGTGGTTCACTAGAGCTTCCATTAAAAGGCTTCCATCTTCGATGTATATCGCCAGCTGGTATGCATCGTGATCCTTGAAAAGGAACTCTTTCACGGCTTTAAGTATCCAGTTTTTTCTTTTCTTTTATTACCTGAACTCGGCCTGATTGAACTACACCTGACTCCAAAAACTACCTCTGTAGAACTGCCAGATACGTAAAGGGAGGGGCTGAAAAATGGACGGGGAAATGTGAAGATCATAAAACTTACTGCGAAGTTGTCTTCTACTCCTGGTTTCTTGATTGGATTGGAGGGAAAGCATACGAATACGCGAATTTCCCAGGCCGACAGAAGTCTCCGAAGGTGTGCCAGACGAGGTCCGATGCTGTCCTGAAGTGAAGATAAAAAGAATTACGCATCGAGAGAAAACTTGGAAGGCCTTACTTTGTGTTTACTCGGTGTTCACTGTAGGAATATGAACCGCGAGAAAGATCTTCTATAGAAACAGGTGCTTGCCTTCCTGAAGACAAAAAATGTATAGACAGAAAATCAAAATAAGCAAACACAATCACTGCGCAAAGCTAGACCTGTATATGGATTATCACGAACAGTCGAAGAAGGTTGCTGCTCATTCCAGGATTGGCTGCAGCGCCATTGTTTTCTTGGAGTTCGGGGCCAGGCAGCTTGTGTAAGCTGCTCTTCCAACGATGGTGGAGTAGTACCACGCGGGTGCCTGCAAATATCCTTAACTAGTACACGAAGAAGAAAACTTTACCTGTTTCCCTGAGGAGGTTTGTTTACTTGATGTACCACTCTCTGTCGAGCCTCGTCAAGCTCCTCCAAGAACAGTAACAATTTCCGGGACGAGAAGAAACATCCCCCTCCGAATGTAGACATTCCTTACGCATTGGGAGAAAAGAAAAATCAAGGCAAAGACTTGTAATACTTTGAGCTGTGGGGTAGGACGATACTCAATGCCAAAAACTCGTTGAGCATCATCGGTCATGGATAGCTTCAAGCATCGACTTCCAATTCCTTCCTGGTAGTGATCCTTGAAAATGTCCACCGCTTCATCTACCTGTGTGCTATGCTCCCATCGATGAAAAGCTATAGAAACCTTCCACTTACTTGTAGAACATAAGTGCATCGCCTGGACCTCTGGAGCGTCGGAGGAGCTGCGCGAAGCATTTCTCGGCGCGAGAATCTACCGGTAACTGAGACGCTCCGATCTGCTCGCGCAGGCAAGAAGAGAGCCACTGCGCCTTAGGCCGCATGAGAAATCCCAAAACCCTACTAGGGTTCTAAACATCCCGCCATTTTGCGAGCTTGAAAGGTTCCAGGAATATGCTTGCCAAGCAGGGTCTAGGGTTTTATGGCGCTTTGCCGCTTCTCTCGCGCACTCTCTTCTCTTCCAGATCGCGCATTGCGGCAATTCGCTCCTGCGGCGCCGAGGAGATCGTTCCCCAAGACGCGCCACGGCGTGACATGGGACGATCCCTACCACTGGCTGCGAAATTCCGAGGATCCGGCCGTCATCGCGTATCTCCAGGCTGAGAATCAGCACGCGCAGTCGACCATGGCTGGAACAAGGGAGCTCCAGCGCCAGATCCGCCAGGAAATGGCGAGCAGGATGGAGAAGGAGCTCGCGTCGCCTCCAGAGCGCTGGGGGGATTGGTGAGTTCTTCCTTGCTCGTTTTTATTTTTTTATTCTTTTTGCCTAGATGAGGAACTTAGAAACAATGTAGGTACTATTTCGTGCATATCCCGCAAGGGAAAGAGTTTCCCATCTACTCGAGACGAAGAGCCTGCCAAGGTGGAAGGCTGAAGGCTTTCTTTACAAGTTTTTTTGACAAGAACAGTGAAGTTATGATCGACATCAATGAGCTTGCTGCCGAGCATGGTAAAGTTTTGAGGATCTTTCTTTGTTTCTCTCTTCTTCCTAATTACACAAGTGTAGGCCATGCACAGCTTGGAGTTTTTAAGCTATCCAGAGACCACAAACTGTTAGCGTACACAATCGACTTGGGTGGCAATGAGATCTTCACATTGTTTATCAAAGACTTGGAGACTGATAGCCTCCTCCTGGAGCACAAAACCGATGGTGTAGTAAGTGTGGAGTGGTCTGATACTGGAGACTATCTTTACTACACTTGTAGTGATGCAGCACATCGACCTCACAGGTTTCTATTTGAAGTTTCTTCTAGAATCATTTTTTCTCGATCTCGACAGGGTTTTGTTGCGGAACTTGCGATCTAAAGATGATGACATTGCAATTTATCACGACGACAATCCAAAGAACTTTGTTGATGTTACAAGAACCAAAAACTGGCAGTACGTTTTGATTAATGTCAACTCAAAGACGTCCTCTGAGGTAATTGCGTTTCACAAATGTGTTGCTCGAGCCTCTACAGGACAGGTTTTTCTGGTAGATCCGAAAACTTCAGCCACAACGTTGCGGAAAGTTGCAGATAGAGTTGATGGCATCCAGTATTTCGTGGAACACCATGAAGAGCACCTGTATATTCTTACCAATTTTTTGGGCGACAAGAAGCTAGCGTCGTTAGGAAACAACTATCGGCTTGTCCGCTGCAAGACAGATAGCTTGACCTCGAAGGCGTGGGAGGTACGTCAATTCTCGTTTTTTTCACAGCAAAAAATGAAACACTTTAGGAGGTTGTCCCAGTCGACAGCGAAAATTGGATAGAAGATATGGATATTTTTGCGAAGCATTTGATCTTATACAGACGACAAAATGGTCTTCCCATTGTGCATGTTTTCAACCTGGATGTAAGCATATGGTAAAAGTTTTGGTCTCACTAAGCTCTTTCCTTTCAGAGCCTGAAAACTCCTCGGACTGTAAACCTTCCCTCCGGGATAACAGTTCTTACTCCTGGAGCAAACTGTGACTTCAATTCGTCTACTCTACGGCTGTCGATATCTTCACTGGTGGTAAGCTCTCTTTCTTTCTTGCATTAGATGTTCGTTGTGGACAATTCTTTTTTCGTTTTTAGATGCCCGAAGCAACGTATGATGTCGATTTGACGACTGGAGAGGTGACACTATTGCAGCAAGTGAAAATTGTGGGAGTGGACACGGGCTCATATTGTATGAAGCATCTTGCTGCTACATCTCATGACGGCGTTCGAGTGCCTTTGACAATTGTCTACTCAAACAAGTTCGAAAGGAAAGGTGAAAATTCCGCTTTGGTTACAGGCTATGGTGCCTATGGCGAGCTGCTTGACATGAGCTTCTCGAGTGACCGGCTGAGCCTTCTCGATCGTGGCTGGGTGCTCGCATTCGCTCACGTCAGGTGAATTTTGCTTTTTGTTCCTTCCATGTCGTAACTGAGATTTGTGGAATCCAGGGGGAGTGGGACGTTAGGAAAGGCTTGGCACTCGGAAGGAAAGCTGCTGAAGAAGGAGAATTCGTTCAAAGACTTTATAGCTTGCATTCGTTACTTGGTGGAAAATCAGTATGCTTCTCGCAACAAGATTGCTGCTTTCGGTGAAAGCGCTGGTGGACTTTTGGTCGGGGCAGCCGTGAACTTGCAACCGGACCTCTTTCGAGCTATAATTTTGAAGGTATGGCGATCATTGAATTGTGTTTTCTTCAAGAGCTCTATCTGCATGACAGGTTCCATTCCTTGACATCCTCAACACAATGTTAGACTCTTCGTTGAGTCTAACAGAGCACGAGTATGACGAATGGGGTGATCCATCATCGGACAAGGCAGCGTTTGATTGCATCCGAAATTACTCTCCTTATGACAACATCAAGCCAGGCGTAAGGTATCCAGCCATGCTAGTAACCTCGTCGTTCCTTGACACCCGGTATGTGTTTGAGAGCTCCTAAGTGCATTGATAAATTGTCGTTTCATACAGGGTTGGTTACTGGGAATCTGCTAAATGGATTGCAGCTCTTCGGCATTCTTGTCAAGCAGAATGTTTAGTCTTTAAGACCAATATGAGTGGGGGTCACTTCGGAGATGGCGGACGCTACTCTCATCTCAAGGAGACTGCTTATGGCTTTGCATTCTTAATAAAAAACTTGGAGGCAATCTAAATTCAGTTTGCTGACAGAAATTCTTGAAAATATAATTTTACTAAGAAACAGCAGCATCAATTTGAAATTACTTATTAGATTTTATTAGAAACTTGACATAATTTTAGCTACCTTGTCTTATATAAATCTCAAAAGAATAGCCCAAGCAAAATATCATTTTTAAAGAATATGGCTGTATCAATTGCGTCTTGCTTTCTTCTTTGCTTTTTGTTTGCTCGTGTAGCTGTGGGTCTTCTTGTACAATATGGCTCCACCACTGTTGAAAATGGCAACTTCATCTCCTTGATCAACACTAACTCAGCTCCCACTGTTGACATTCAAGGATTTCGCGGGAATGGCAGTGTTAGCCTGTTTTCGGTGGTGATGGCGGATCAAAAGGCACTCTCAGCCCCAAACAAAACTTATCCTTACATCAACTTTTGGATTGCAAACATTCCAGCAGGCACCTCTGGTAAGTTCTCTTTTTTTTATCTTTAATTGATAGATTGGATTTGTGGTTCTGTTTGTAGGAGCTGTAAAGAGTAACATTCTTGAGCCTTATGTATCTCCTTCCAACACTGGCAAGAACATCCCATACCCAAATCCATTCAACGCTAAAAACCACACATATGATTTTGTGCTCGTTCCACAGAGGAATCCCTTGGTGAAGCCCATGAGTAGTCGCATTGTTCTCTCACTGCCCGATATCATCCAACAGTACCACTGTGGGAGTCCCCTCCAGACAGTCTCCTTCACCACCTCGCTCAACTAAATAATTAAAATTTGCTATTGATTATCAGCTACTTGGCATTAATAAAAGTGGATCTTGTGTCCTACAAGAGAGATTTTTTTCTCCTTACACAAGGAAAACGTGGTTTTAAACATTAGCATTTGTGATTGATCTCAAATGCTATTTTTTGTCCTTACACAAGAAAACGGGATGGACCATCTTGTCTTCTACAATACATAAAAAAAAAAAGAATGTTAGTGTGCTAAAAAGAAGTGTGTGAGGTCCTGACCACCTTTTTAATTAACGTACGATACATGAAAGTTTCCTCTGTACATAAGTCTAACGAAAAGCCTGGCTTTCGGAACGCGATAGTTTTTTGTCGCTTGGCTTCAATAATTTGCACAACCAGTCCTGAAACATTCAGTAGCCAAATGAATCAGTGCATATAAAATGGATGCTTACGTTAATTACTCGCGACTACCACCACCATATAGCTTCTTCTCAAACATGGTTTCATATGGTAAACTGCCCCTTGGACGCCGCGGAAGTAGCAAACAACCAGCTGCTTACTGCCTCGGCACTTGCATTGCCTCGCCCGTGATGGCTGTCTTCGCAACTGATCGAGAAACGAGCGTGCTTCGCCTGGGAGCTCGAGCGATGCCCAATGATCATATGCTCCACATTCTCGAGCTCCGATCGGCTGAATCCATACTCCATGATGCAGTCGCTCTCGTGAAGATCGGCCGTGGAGTGCGAGTGCTTTGCTCTGTTCGCTTGCTTAGCCTCGGTGAGCTTCCGTGTGGCCTTTGCCAGCCGCTCGTTCGCCTCCTCGAGCCTCTGCGAGTGGAGCTCGTCGGAAGCTCTGAACTGGTCTTGGAGATCCGTGACTTGCTGGAGCAGCACGTCTCGCTGGTGGCACACGGAGCGGTAGTCCTGCTGGAGCTGCGCGTACCTCGCGCTGAGCTGATCGAAGTCGAGAGAACGCTCCGGGGTCTCGAGCTGGGCCACCGCTTGCTGGGCTTGCCACAGGGACGAGATGAGCGCTTCCTTTTGCTGGATCACGGTCTGCTTCATCTGCTTCAAGATCCCGTCCACGGCGCTCAAAACCTGCTTCTGCTGCATCGAGCAGAAGGTGAGAGCTCCGCCTCTGGAGCCGCCGGACGATTCACCGAAGACAAACTTGGAAGAAGGCAGCGACGACGACGAAGAACAAGGCCTGATGGCCACCTCTCGAAGCTCGTCACCTTGACGTAGCGTTTCCACGATCAAATCCTCGTCCGGAGTCCCATCCCGCTCGTTGGACCTGTCCTCCCACGACAATCTCTTCCTCTTTCCCGACTGCTCGCCGGTGGTGGCGAAGCGCATCGTCGGCTGCAAATCCACCCCTGGAAGATCGAAGTGGTGCTGGAGAACCATGCTCAGGTAGTGAGCGGTGGTGACCGGCTTGCCTTCCTTAAGCTCCTTGTGCATCTTGAGCACCACGAACTGTGCCCAGTTGAAGATCTTCTTGGTGGAGCGAGTGGCACAGGCCGGATAGGCGGTGGCTCCACTCACCCTTTGATTGTTGAGACGAAGCCCAATCCTCTTCACCAAGAACTCGAGGTAGACGCGCATGACGTGCTCTTTCACCTCGCACAGCTTCCAGCCACTGGCCTGGCTATGGCCTTTCTCGCTGAAGTACTTCTGGATCTCGGGGCCATGGAGCTGGGAGTTATACTCGGTGGGGATCTCTTCCAGATCGGAGCCGTAAGGGAGGCACAGCGCCTCGCCGACGCTCTTGTCGCTCAGCTCCATGCTGCCAAGCTCCGGGACGTGGATCGTCTTGGACTCGGAGTCATACCCTTGCGTCGCCTTGCGGACGAGCTCCACATCCATGGCCTTGAGCTTGAGCTTGATGAAATCCACCAGGCCTGTCTCCTCGATCCACGCCGCCTGGGGCGTGAAGAGATCGTCCCACATTTGGGGCTTGAGGAAGCGCCATGGCTCCATGGCGGGAGGACACCCCGTGGAGTGGAGAACCCTACCTCCGCATTGTGAAAATGCCGCAGCGGAGCTCCAGATCTCCTTGCCTGGCGCGGCGATTCGCGGATTAGCACCGCATTGGAGGAGATTGGTGGATGGGCGAGAGCTCGCCTCGCAGCTCCACAAACGTGGGAGGAGAGAGAAGAAGAATTAACCTAAAATTTCTGTTCCCGCGTAACAAGATAAAAAGCATATACCTTTACCGTCTGCCCTAAAGTAGTCCACGGACCTTGCCGGTTTAGCAAGACGCCAAAGAGGATCGGTGACCGAGGATGGATTGTCCTCGCACGCCTCTCCTTGGATCAAGCTCCATTTCCAATGATCATGGTTCGTCTTGGAAAGATTCGCTCTTCTTCTCGTGGCTCAATCCTCTGCTTGCCATCGGCGCCAAGAAGCCACTCCAGCGATGCGATGTTCCAGCGCTGCGCGACCAGGATGACACCGCCGAGAGAACACACGCGGGATTGATCCAAGCGCTATCCAAGGTAGGAGACGATCACACCCCCTCGAGCCTCTTCTGGGCGATCGCGCGATGCCACTGGCGGGAGATCTGGCGCACAGGAGCGCTGGCACTGGTGAAAACCATCGCCATCTCTTGTAACCCACTGTTCCTCCGCTACTTCACGAGCTTCGTTGCTGCTAGCAATGGTGGCGGTGGCTTGCCGGCGAGAACAAGAGGCTATCTTCTCGTGGCCGCCCTCTTCTCCGCTAAGATCCTCGAATGTCTGTCACAGCGACACTGGTTCTTTGGCGCTCGCCGCCTGGGCCTTCGCCTTCGATCGTCGATCGTCGCCGCCATCTACGCCAAGGAGCTCAAGCTCTCGCATCAATCCCGCCAACGCCATGCCAGCGGCGAGATCGTCAGCTACATCTCTGTGGATGCCTATCGCCTGGGAGAGTTTTTCTGGTGGTCTCACCAGCTCTGGACGGTTCCACTCCAGATCTCCATCGCTCTCGCCATCTTGGTCTCCACTGTTGGCCTGGCAACGCTCTCGGGGCTGCTCGTCATCCTCATCACCGCCGCCATCCAAGCTCCACTCGCGAAGATCCAGCAGCGAAACCAGTATAACTTGATGGTTGCCCAGGATCAGCGATTGCGAGTGAGCAGCTCCATTCTCTCCAGCATGAAGATCATCAAGCTCCAGGCCTGGGAGAGATACTTCCAGCAACTTATCGAAAGCTTTCGTGCTCGAGAGTATGCGTGGCTCTATGGAGTGAAGCAAATCTGGGCTGCCGGGAGCGTCATGTTTTGGATGTCTCCGGTCGTCACCGCCTCGGTGGTCTTCGCGACTTGCATCCCTCTCTCGATCAAGCTCGATGCCACGCTCGTGTTCACAGTGCTCGCCACGTTTCGGGTGATTCAAGAGCCCGTGAGAAATCTTCCCGACGTTCTTACCGCGATGATCCAAGCTCGGGTGTCGCTCGAGAGGCTCTCCAAGTTCTTCCAGGACGCGGAGCTGCAAGAGGACGCAGTGGAGAGGGATTTTTTCTCGCGGCAACACGACGTGATCTCTATTGACTCGGCCACCTTCGCCTGGGAAGAAACTGGAAAGTTCTCTTTGGCGGATTTGAGCTTGAAAATCACGAGAGGAGAGCTCATCGCAGTTTGTGGTGCTGTTGGATCTGGAAAATCTACACTCTTGCATTCGATTCTTGGGGAAGTTCCAAGATTTTCTGGCAAGGTACTTATCTCGTTTTGCTTTTCGACAAGATAACGCTTGTAAACCATCACTTTGTAGGCCAAAGTTTGTGGAAGCATAGGTTACGTCTCGCAGACCGCTTGGATCCGGAGTGGTAGCGTTCGAGAGAACATTTTATTCGGGGAGGCCATGGACAAAACTTTCTACGAGCGAGTGATCAAGGCTTGTGCTCTCGAGGAAGATCTCGCAGGCTTCTCTCACGGGGATTTAACCGAGATTGGTGAGCGAGGACTCAACTTGAGCGGGGGGCAGAAGCAAAGGCTCCAACTCGCGAGAGCTTTGTACGCGAATGCGGAGATTTATCTTTTGGACGATCCTTTTAGCGCTGTTGATGCTCAAACTGCTGCTACGTTGTTCCAGGCAAGTCTAGTTTCTTTTTAGCCTCTCTTTGATATCTTTGACAGGCATGTATACTCCAACAACTGAGGAACAAAACAGTGATATTGGTTACTCACCAAGTGGAGTTTCTTTCATCAGTGGACAAGATCCTGGTATGTTTTGCCGTCAACTTCTCTGACAATCGATTATCAATTCTTTTTCTACGATTCAGGTGATGGAGTCTGGACGCATTGTCCAGTCCGGGAGCTACCAAGAACTTCTCATCAGCTCCGGGAATATTTTTTCGAGGCTCGTGAACGC